ATATACACCAGAACCAAATTAATTGAGATAGAAAAGAGAACGCATGAAAGAATGGAAAACGCTTTTTAATTTTTCAGAGAACGCAAATAAATAGGGATAGAAAAGAGAACGTATTTTGAATTAAAAATATTTAATTTTTACTATTTTCTCAATTAGCAAACATGTAACTATACTACAAAAATGTTTATTTCATTAATGCTAAACGTACCTTTTTAGGTCTACCACATTTTTCACACATCACTATAGAAAAAAAAGTGGAAATTATCTCATAAGAAATCCCGTAAGTCTACCCAGTGTATAACCATAGGTAATTGTGTCTCACGTAGAATTCGACAGATGTAATCTAAAATTTTTAATTTTTAAATATTTTCAGAAAGTCGAATCCGAACTATTGACTTTGACGTTGTAACAAAGCAGAACTGTTTATGAGAAAGCAACTGTAATTGTGTGATTTACCGCATTACATTGTGTGATACTGTTAAGTCCGCCCCGGTTACCATTTGTAATGCACGGCCGCAAGGCGTATACCGATGCACATGAATAGGCAGTGCCAGCAGCTAATTCTATACCAGTACAAGCGTCAACTGCCCAGGAGTATCCGTTTGATGTTGCTGGATCGTAACTGGCGGAGTTGAACAGCGCTGCAGCAATACCATTTACGATAAAATAATATGATGCAGCTTAATGTTCAATAAGGTGAGGTCATCATCAGAAAAACACAATCAAAACAACAGAACCAGAAATTTGTCATTTACTTTAGATACAAGCAGCGAAATTGGGCGATATATTCTGGTTCTGTTGTTTTGGTTGTGTTTTCTGATGATGACCTCACCTTATAGGTCGAAAGTTCATACAAGTTGTCTTCAAATATAGTGAAGATTTTAAACATTAAGCTGCATCGTATTATTATCGTTATAATCTACACATGCCCGTCCTCAAGATTTGTCAATTGGATACCTATTCTCTACCCGCACGACGATGAACGAGCATGGTACGTTATCAAGTTTCCGCATGCCTGGTTGGAGACCTACATGATTTTGAATTCTGTTTATACAGTTACCGCGTTTCTTCTGAATCTTGTTTCTGCCATCATTCTCTGCACGTACGAAGCAGTGCATTACTGCTCGGAAGAGTTATGGGAATGTTCTTTGGAAACAAGTTCAATTAATTGTATAAACAGATGCACTTTTGCTTTTTTCATCGCAGAAGCGTTGATAGCTCAACATTTTTCTGTGTTGACGGACTTACCGTACATGTCTGCTTACACAATTCACCACAGATAAATAGCTAAAGAACAAAAGAGCGAAGTGTCAAGCGGTTTCTGATTTAAGTCAGGTTTAATAAATCAGCTGTCATCACAAGGCATTATACAACCGTAAGAGTGGCATTAAGACCTACGACACAACAGTTCTTCTAGCAGATTTCGGAATGTCTGTACTTGAGGGTGAGCAAGACCAAAAACTTCACTGGCAATGTCGACAGCTTCTAAGTCATGGTGTACAGCCTCATCGTCACGAGAGAGGTTGTGGCAGACTGTAGCTATATTGTTGTGTAAAGTCGCTATATCAGAACACATACCCTAGTCATCGATCCTTATAAAGGAATCAGACAAGAATCTTACTGAAAACTTATATGGATCCTATAAGATCCAGGTAAGAATCTTATCACACTCTTACAAGATTCGTATATAAGAAAACGCTCGAAAGTGCCACGAATCTCGTAAGAGTCTTAGAAGAATCTGATAAGGGATTTGTAAGAACTTCGGAAGAAATATTTCCAGCGCCTTCTCAAAATGTGACAGTGAAGTGAGGTAGTCTCCTATGGATTTACGCACCAAACCAAGGCAGCTGTGAGACCTGGTTAGGTCGGAATGATCAGTTGGAAGAGATTTTTCTCGAATGCCTAGCGCTTTCTCATAGTACGACAATGCAGCTGAATACTTTCCCTTGCATTGATGCACAAAACCGATGTTGTTGAGTGAAGTAGCTAGATTCGGATCATCAGACGGAAGTGCTTCGTTCCATAAATGAAACACTTTCTCGTATTGAGAGAGTGCAGATGAATAATCTCCCATCGATTGATGCACACAACCAATGTTATTGTGTGCCGTGGCTACCTGCAAATGATTAGTTGGAAGAGATTTTTGCCATATTTCGAGCGCCTTCTCGATGTGTGAGAGTGCAATTGCATAGTGTCCCATCGATCGATGCATCATGCCAATGTTGTTGTGTACCACGGCCACATACGAATGATTCGCTGGAAGGGATTCTTGCTATATTTCGGGCGCTTTTACGAAGTGTGGAAGTGCCGTTGAATACTCTCCCATTGATTGGTGCAGCGTACCAATGCGGTTGTATGTTGTGGCTAGATCGAGATGATTAGGTAAAAGAGATTGCTTTTCGATTTTCAGCGCCTTCTGGCAGTGTGAAAGTGCAGTTGAATAATCTCCCATCGATTGATGCGCTATGCCAACGTTGTTGTGTAACGTTGCTAGATGTGGATAATCACGTGGAAGAGATTCTTGTCATATTTTCCGTGCCTTCTCGTACTGTAAGAGTGCCGATGAATAATTTCCCATCGCTTGATGTATCATGCCAATGTTGTTGTATGACATGGCTAGATTCGAATAATTAGATGTCAGAGATTGTTGTTTGATTTCTAGCGCTTTCTGATAATATGAAAGCGCGGCTGAATACTCTCCCATGGACTCGTACAGAGAAGCGATGTTATCATAATACGAGAACAGATCCGAATGATCAATGAGAAAAGACTTTTTTTTCGTACTGTGAAAGTGCGATTGAATACTCTACTATGACTTTACGCATTAAAACAACATGATCGTGTGATCTTGATAGATCCGAATGATTAGGCGAAACGGACTTTTGGCGCATTTGGAGCGCTTTCTCGAAGTGTGATAGTGCAACTGGATACTGTCCCATTCTCTCGTGCATAGAAGCAATGCGATTGAGTAACGGTGCTAGATCAGGATGATTTGCTGCGCGAGATTTTTCTCGCATTTCCAGCGCTTGCTCATAGTATGACAATGCAGTTGAATACTTTCCCATGGATTGATGCACAAGACCAATGTTGTAAAGTGAAATAGCTAGATTAGAATCATCAGATAGACGAGCTTCGTTGCATAAATGAAACACTTTCTCGTAGTGAGAGAGCGCAGTTGAATAATCTCCGATCGATTGATGCACAGAACCGATGTCGTTGTGTGCTATGGCTAACTGCAAATGACTACTTGGAAGAGATTCTTGCCGTATTTCGAGCGCCTTCTCGACATGTGATAGTGCAAGTGAATATTCGGTGATACAAACAACCAATGTTGTGGTGCGGCTTAGCTAGATCAGGATGGTTAGAAGAAAGAGATTGTTGTTGAATTTGCAACTCATTCTACCAATGTGAAAGTGCAATTGAATAATCTCCCATTGATTGATAGGTAAAACCAATATTGTTGTATAATGTACCTAGATGAGGATGATCAGGCTGAAGAGATTCTCGACTTATTTGAAGGGCTTTTTCAAAGTGTGAAAGTGCAGTTGGATAATCTCCCATCGATTGGCTCACCAGGCCAATATTATTGTGTGACGATGCTAAATCAGGATGATTAGAGGGAAGAGATTTTTCTCGAATTTTGAGAGCCCCCTTGAGATTTGCAAGTGCGATTGAACACTGGCCTAGCGATTGGTGTACCAAATCAATGTTGCTGCGGGCCGTGGCTAGACTCGGATGGTTAAGTGGAAGATATTGTTCATCGATTTCTAGAGCCTTCTGATAATGCGAAAGTGCAGTGGAATACTCTTCCATCGATTGATGGGCAAGAGCAATGTTATTCTGTAAAGTTCCTAGAAAATGATGATCAATTGGAAGAGAATTTTGTCTTATGTCTAGCGCTTTCTGATAATGTAAAAGTGTCGTTGAATACTTTCCCATCGACTGTTGCGCCATGCCAACGTTATTGTGCAAGATTGCTAGATGAGGATGATGAAGTGGAAGAGATTCTTGCCATATTTGCAGCGCATTCCCAAGATGTGACATAGCATTTGAATAATCTCCAGACGATATATGCAAGAAACCGATGTTGTTATATACTACGGCTAGATTGGAGTGGTTAGAGTGAGCATTATTTTGTGTAAGGTCGCGCGCATCTTCGAATTTTGAGTGAACAGTGTTGTTGTCATTCTCTGTTGTCAACTGAATGTGAACCTTTTCATGGTTTAACGCAGTGTTTTGGATGGCCGCCTTGAGTATTGCTTTGTAAATGCCTTTCGCCATATTTAGCTCACCCATCTGATGCATTAAATTACCCAGTTGAACTCATCCTGTTCCTTCACCGATCTCCTGACGCATGTAGTCTGTGAGACGCTTTAGATATTCATCATTATCGTTTGTCAATCTTGGTTTTACTTCCCACAATCTATTCTCGATTTCTTTCATCTCATCGATTCGAAATACGGTGTGCATTGAAAACAAGATTTCTTTTTCTGAATCTAAGAAATGGCTGAGGTTGCCTAGTGATATGAATGGAGTCATGGAGAGCAATGGATCGATATCCATACGAAAGAGAACGCCGGTCAGTTCGGGATCTTCTTTAGCACTGTCAGCAAATGCCAGGGAGACTTCCTGATCGGTACTAGTATCCATACCAAAATACAGTGCAGGGTGCCACTTTTTGAATAACTTTTGATAGGAATGAGAAAAAGACCTGCAATTTTCGCTGTTCAATAGCCAAGACTTGAGCAGAACTTTCCACAAGCGG